ATAATTTTAATAAATAAGAATATAATTAAGAGGAAAAGGATAGTTTTATATCATTAAACAAATTATAATCGAATATACAAAAGTTGTAACCATAAATATTATTGTCAAAAAATCGAAAATCTGAAACTAAGCAATAAAGTGATAATTTGAATAAATATTAATAAAAGAGAAATCTATCAAAAAGATAAGACTAATATACTATTATATATTTGTAGATCACTTAACAATAATAATAAAGCTTTAACTAATAAGTATTTAATAACTAGATCACTTTGAGAATATTTTAAGAAAAAGTATATCAGAACCAATATCATTATTGCTAATATATATATAATAATAATTTAGATATTTATATTTTAATTATATATATAATCCAAAATAACAATTATCAAAGTATAAAATAAATTGAAGGAATATAGAAGAAAACTTGGAACTATAGATATAAACTATAGATCTATAAATCAAGACAATATTTTACTTTTAATATTAACTAAAAGCCTTCCAATTGATTATCAAGGTATTATTAATATACTTGATATTCAGTATTGAATTATAGTCAAGTATAGTTGAATTATGAATCACGTAGACTGGATATCATATAGTGGGTTCAATGCTTGTTGGCTAACTTGAAGAATATTAAGAGGGGTAGGTAGGTAGGTAGGTAGTATTAATTTACATCAGGAGGGCAGCTTAGGGCTGCCCTCAGAACCTCCCTAGGGGTATGCTGATGTTCTAAGCTATGGTCTTACGATATATGAGATGAGAGTGCCTTAGAAAGAAAAGTGAAAGCCTTACGGCTATTCCCGGTAATTGTATGTTACCTTCCAATTTGTGTATTTCCTTCTTCGCCGGTTGAAGTGGTTCTGTTGTTTTGCCTGATATAGGCAGTTGTGCCTATATTATAAACTTGCCATTGCATGTGCTAAACGGTTCAGTAGGCTACTTTTTAAGTATAGCGATTAGAGTGTTTGTTATGCTCCTGCAAGCGTTCTCGGGCTTGCTTTCGCATATCCTGTTGGTGTTTACCAGGGTTCTTAGGTCCTGGCAATATTGTTATTTCCCTACATACGCTCTGCAGGGGGAGTTTGTAGCTTCGTTTGTGTTGTACATTGCAAGTCGATCCTGGTAATAAATATGGGTTGTCGCAGGCTTAGAAGGTTGGTTGTAGATTGTGGACTTGTGGTCCTCTACCTTAGGCATATGTTTTCATAAAACTTCGTTAGCTTTAGTAGCTTGGCGAAGTTTGTAGGGTTGTTCAGGACTTTGCGAAGGTATTGGATTTCTTTTGTATTTGTCACTGATGGTGTAGGGGGCTTGTTTGGCCATTGTTCGAATGTGCCTCTTGCCTTCCGGCAATAGACCAGATGGGCAGGGGTTTTAGGCTTTTCACAGAAGTATTCCGTGTCCCCTGTGTATTTGTATTTCCTGTGATACTATCCGAAGTCTTTATATAAGGTTCAGATAACTATTAGTCTTTGTAGGACTACTCGTGGGAATAAGAGTTCTGGTAGTAGTTTGACCTTATATATCAGGTCCCATTGTTTGTATCATAGTGAAAAGATAGGTTCGCAGGAATTCCACTATTGTTGGCAGGTGTCTTCTCTGAGGTTTTGTATAATCGATCGAATTCTATTGTAAATGGGCTGCGAGGCTGGTCCGGTATCCCATCGGGCTTTCTTAGTATCAAGGTCTGCGAGGTGGTTAGCCATCTCGTTTCCCTCAATGTTTTCATATTCTGGTGACCACTTGATATGTATATCATACTTCTCCATAATTCTGTAACAGTTGTTAAACACCCATTGTGATGATATAGAAACATTGGCGTGTATACACTAGATAACTGAGGCATTGTCGATGCACATCCAGATTTTCTGGTTTGTATACCTGGTATCTTTGAGGATATGTTCCAGGCCTGTCCATACTCCAATAGCCTTCGCGTTGAAGATATGGGATTGGGTATTGATAGATCCAAAGCCTGCCAATATCTGATTCTTACTTAGATATGTTATATATCTATAGTCTATTATATGTTTTCTCTGCACATGGTTTTCCGATTTATTTGAGAAAATAGTGATATCTGTTTCTGGCAGGTTGTCCTACCAGATTCCAAAGGCTTTTGCTGCCGTTTTCTTGTTAATCCCTTCCATTAGGTTTATTCGGTAGCTGGTTGTATACCGTGATAGCTTCAGTGTAGACCTCGGGATTGGGGGGACAAGGAGACCAAATCTTTGGATTTTGGTCTTCACTCTTTGTCTTGTGCCCATCCCTCGATCTTTGATGATCATAGAGGGTTCGATCCTTTTTGTGAGTGGGTGATTTTCGTCTACGTTTTGGAGACGTAGGGCAAACCTCAGTTTGGCTTCCTCGAGGGCTGCCATAGCTGAGGGGAGTCCTGCTTCGCAATAGAGGGCTGCTATTGACATGGTTTTCCAGACCGGTATAACTCCTCGTATCACTATTGCAAGGACTTTCTCGATTTGTGTCATATACCAGCCTAGGCGGGCACTGGACTGTGTTTTTCCGAGTTTGGGTCTTCGCACAGTCTTGAACCTTCCTCTGTACCAGGCCTCTGTTCCATATAGGAGCGAGGGTAGTACACATATTGTCATTGCCTTGCATATCGATTATACCGGGGGGCTTTGCACAACCTTGACTAGGCCTTGTATATACCTTGCCACTACCCTGGCTTTGCTTGTACATTCTATGACATACCTCCGAAAGCTCAGCTTTCTGTCAAACCACACTCCCAGCCATCTCAGCGCTGAACAGGTGTTTGCTTCCGTAGCCACTATCAGGTGAATCGTGAGTTCTTCGTTCACTCTGATAACAGATATTATATTGCCATTTCTTGTAAAGATATAGATCATTTCCAGTTTCTCTGGGATGAAGGCAATGTGATTGTTCAATCCCTACTCTATAACGTTCTGGACATCTGTAGCGAGGAATCTGATGTTTTCTTCCAGGGTTTTGGATACTCTGAATAGGCATATATCATCCGCATACCCAAATCTGTGGACAATGTCTTCCGATATAAGCTCCGCTAGATACAGTATGTACAGGACTGGTGAGAGGGGGGAGCCTTGTGGGGTTCTGCAGGCTATTGAATACTCCTTGGTTATAGCTTGTTCAAGCCTTACTCTGACTTTCCTTTTTGTTAGAAAGGAGTCGACTAGAAGAAGTAGGTTTTTAGGCTATCCTTGCTCTATTATCCTGATTAGGAGTCGTCTTTTGAATAATACATCGAATACTCCTTACATGTCCATAGTGACCATGGTTACCTCTTTTCCTGCTAACAGTGCCATTTCCACATCGTGTATAAAGGATGCCATCAGATCCATTACAAAGCGTTTGGATAGGGCTCTGCTATGTTGAGGACTGATAATGCCGTGTTTTAGGGCTGTCCAGCCTATTCGTTTGGCGACTATTCTTTCCAGGTTCTTTCCTATACAAGAAAGTAAGGCAATAGGTCTCCATAACCTTGCAGATATCATATCTCTTTTGCCAGTTTTGGGCATCATAGCTACTTCAGCCAGTTTCCAAGTTTTTGGGAAATGGCTATATTCGAGGCACTTCTGGAAAAGCCGTCTTAATAGGTCTTTGAGGTAGTCCTAACAAGCCTTTAGGATTCTGACCATAACTCGGTTGGTTCCTAATGACATATTGGATATTCCGATGACACTTGCTTCGACTTCTTCCATTATAAACCGAGAATTCCAGGGTAAATATCCACTTCCTTCCCATTAGTCTCCCAATGAATCGTATTCTAGATCATCCTCCGTACTGAATCAGTCCAGGACTTCTATCCTGAGTAATTCAGCTTTTTCCATCGAGTCCTCTATTACCACTCCGTTAGAGATGATTAAAAGGCTTTTGAAACTCGGGGCCAGCTTGTGCCAACCTATTATCTTGTATAAGTCCTTATCACTAGAGATGTCGTCTATAACATGCCTCCAGTAGTCGCATTTGGCCATTCTGACCGCTGTTTTGAATTCTTTTGTTGCCATGATAGGGGGTTGCCCTGGTACAGCTTATCTATACAAGTGTTCAGTATAAGCCCTTTTGCACTCTGGTGTCTACCAAGGTGTTGCTTTGCCTTTTCCTCTGTCCTTGGTTCCTGTTGCTTCGATTATTTGTATAATTACTTGAGTAAGTTGTTCTGCGAAGTGATCTATCCTTTGTAGAGAGTCAAGGGGGTTACTTGGGGATATGTGTACCACTCCGTTAACCACTAATCCTGCCAGTTTCGGTAGTTCCGTTTCTGGGACACGGATGTTGTATTGATCGAGAGGTTTGAATCCTTTGTCTGGTATAATTATTACCAGGGTAGAATAATCCAAGCCACTATATAGATCGTATCATATTTTGGTTTCTATAAACAATATATTGGAGAAGGTAAGGTCAAATATATTTCCTCCCAAATAAATAGATGCTCCTCGTTCTCCAATGTAGTCTAACTCGGCTAATTCAGCCCAGACTGCTAGCTCGCATTCTCCATAGAGGTTTTCCGATTCAGATTGCTATGTTTCGTGCATAGCATTGAAATCGCCTTCGATAAGGCAGCCTGGGGATGGTTGTAATTCAGTGACATAGATTAGCACCTGCTCTGTCCGCAGTTGTCGGTATATATTCAATATAGAGTACCTATTCACATTTATCCAGAGTATATCCCAGCTTTTGATCGACTATCTTTGTTAAATTCGCAATTTTGTGCCTTTTCTGATATACGTTAGTACTCGGGATCGTTCTGCCTCTCTTTGTTCAGGGAATATTCCTGTCCATAAGTCAACTAGTGTATATAGGGTCTATCCGGGGTATGTTTTGGTTTTTGTGAGCAGGAACGTGGAGGGTTCCTGCACGCATAGAACATCTGATTTGTTTTCAAATACTATTTGGAGTAAGGTATCGTAGGCTTCTGGTATTTTGCCCACATTCGCCCAGCAAACCATTAGGTCCCGTATTCTAGATTGTTGATAACTATACACATCATTCTGATACATCGGGTGTCTATTTATGTACATCGGATTATAGGATTCCTCCCATTTCGATATCTTACTGACTATTGGTAAGGGTTTCCTCGTTAAGGTTTGTGTTTACAGAGGGTTTCCGTTTTAATCGGCTTGCTACCGCCATGTTCCTTTTGAATCTATTCGCTGAAGCGGTTTCGACTGCTTTCGCTATTTCGGACATGATTATTTGTACTTCCAGACGTTTTAGTGTCGGGTGGGGTTGAGTTTGGGTTACAGGTAAGGCTAGGGTGGTTCCTTCTTTTGGGATCTCTTTTGTTTTCTGATTAGAAAGCATCGCCGCTTCCAATGCCAGGGCTGGCTTTCGGATAGCTTTGAGTTGGGGTCCGGTGAGTACTATAACTCGACCTTCTACCACCTTTGGTGCCGCTGAACAGTTCTGGTATCCTGCCGCAAATGGTCCGAAGCAGTTAGCATACCTTGCTTTCGCTACGCAGTTGAGCCCTTGTAGGCCTTCGTATATATCCTTTTGAACACCACAGTTGGCACAGCAGATGAGTCTAGTGCATCTCGCTGAGTTGCATCAGCTTTAGCAGCTAGTGTTGTACCGAGTTATAATGGGCTTCGCCTTGATCTCTTGTACCAGTTCACTAGCGTTGAAGAACCTGAAACCACAGACTAGTTCGAAAAAAAATACTACCCATATGATAATGCCATTATAGGGGTTGGCTCTGTGTCTTGAGGATCTACAGCTGACTGGGGATTGGCCCGTCTGTGCCTGTATCTCCGCTTCCATGTAACTCGCCGTGTCAGCTGGGAGTCCGGCTATCATACGAATCGATGCTGGTACTCCAGGGATTGCGTAGTTGTATTATGTTACCGATTGATGTATTTGTGTACCTTAGCTAATCCTGAGGATAATTTCTTTGTTTTCCTGTAAAAGAAGTAGTTCTTGAGTTACTGGATTTTTCAGCGTAATAACCCATCCTATCTTGGTAGCAGAGATAGTAGAGACATTAACTAATGATAGGCCCATAATTGCATCAACGAAAGCACTTCTTAGTGCAAACGGGACTGGGCGGCTGAGCCGAGCTACAGGGCTGATAGCTATTAAAAGCCTGTGATCCGTGCTCCGGGCAGTTCGTGTTGCTCGATATTTGGATCGTGCATTGTTAAATGGGGCTTTTGGTAGGGCTTCTTGAGATGTAGATGAGTCTACTTGGCCCACTCCGTTTTGACTTGTTTTGGGGGTTTTGAGGATCCCCGTGTAGGTTTTGGTGATTTGTGTTTTCGTGGAGGCCACGCTTCTTGTTACTAGCGACGTGAATGTTGGGCTCGACGATGGGTTGGGTCCATCGTCGATGGTAAGCATAAGGATTTCGACAACTCTGCTACTCAGTTTACTGGCTGCTGTTCGTTCATCCCCCATAGCGAAAAAGTCAATATATCTGTCGATAACATTCACCAAGCCAATCATGACTTTTCGTTAGATTCTTTCTGTATATTCGTAGGCAACGAGTTTGGCTTTGAATGCTTTTGTTACTACACTGGTTGCATTGGTATTTGCTCTATTTCCCAGTTGGAAGATTGGTGATATCTCGTTGATGAAGGCTCGCTATCTTCTTTTGGAGCGATTTTTGAGGTTGGAGGGCGTTTCTGGGTCCCGTGGATTGGTGTAATCCCTATTTACCAGGTCGATAGTCTCTGACAGTGCCGTAGCGGGCGTCATGTTGGCTTGTAGTGAGCAGTCTGTATTGTAGATAGTGTTATGACTCCGTAGAGTTAATTTCAGACCGAAATTCAATTTCTGGCGACCAGAAATTTTTCTTCGGAATATTGTGTTTGGGTGCGAAATATTAAGAGGGGGAGCTTTTAAAAAAAAAGCTATATATATATATTAGACTAGCAACTATTAGCTGTACTCTGTATATACATTATATACATTACAAAACTGGCTATATTCAATATACTCTTTATTTACTAATATAGACAATATATAAATCTCTTAATCTCTGGAACCTTAATTCTAGTTTATCCTTTCTAACTTCTCTTTCTTAACTATTACTCTTAGCTAACTCTTCCCTAATATATATCATCATTGTTAATGCAAATATCCTAGGCTTTCAACAACTGGACTATTCCATTATATTAATACTTACCTATATACAACAATTCAATAAATTATATATATTTAATAGACAAAAATGGTTTTGTTAATCTATTAACAATTTGCTGATCAATTGAAACAAACTATAGATTGATATAGTCTTTTGCTACTTATTCGCAAATATAATGAAATATTATAGCAATATATTTAGTACACTGATAAATCTCTAGATTCTCAATTAAAGCAAGGTTTCCCTAGTTATCCCCAAATAATTTAATCTTTTTGATATTTGGATAATTGTAGTCTATCTCTATCAGGAATTAACAAATCCAGGCAGTTTCTATTAAAGCGTTT